GGTTTTTAGTCAGTTTTCAGAAAACCAAACATTGGACATTTTTCTGTGTTGGTTTCAACCACAATTCCCAGCCCTGGAGGTGTCTAGATACAAAGGTTTTGTGTGCATGTATGTGCGGTGTCAATGTGTTTTCATACGGCAAATAAAGAGCATCTTTGTTCTAAGCTAACATTCTCTGTTCGATAGCTTAAGAGCTGATTGCCATCAATTGTCTGTAGCCAGATTGCCATTGTGGTTGTTGTTGCTTCAATTTATCTCCGAGTATCTGGTGTTCTCTGCGCAGCTCGTAATGCGCACCACGTGGGTGCAAGCCATAACCTACTGTTGCTTGTTTGTCTGTCTGTCTGTCTGTCTGTCTGTCCTAGCATCTAATGACGAACACATATTTTGCGTACTTCCTTCATAACAGATGTGACACAAATTCTTACCACATCAACGCCACCCTCCGCCCCACAACTTTCACTCTCGGCACACTGCCTGCAACGGCTTTGCTGAAAACGAAACGTGTTTAGCTAACATATGTTTGCAATTTTTGCACATTTGCTTAAAAATAAATATACCGAATTCGCTTTTATTTCACTTCTGCACTGGAGACATTGATTTCTTAATCAAGTGAGTGAGAGGCACATGTGATACAGCCAAATTTGCATATCCAATCGGCATTCATATGCCTGCATGTCCGTCTGACTGCCAGTCAATCTAGCTATCCAGCTATGTATGTGACTGCCGAAAAAAGAGACTGGATTACATTCCATAAATCTGGTATCGCCGTTGTTCTTTCTTAGCAACAACTTGTTTGCTTTCAAGCGCCTAAAGTATCGGCCCGTCCCCTCTCACGGCTTGGCTTAGATCGCTTTTTGTCAGAAGCGGTTGGTCTTTCATTGGTGATGGTGTTTTAAATGTCATAGTTAAATGCTGTTGGTATCAATTCTTGGTTCATTGAAAATCATCAAAGTGAAATGATTCAAATACAGTTTTGGGTTTTCAATTCGAAGCTAATGAATGTCACCACAAACATGTTGTCCGAATGTTAAGTTGATTTCTGTCCGTCTCTCCGCCCGGTCCCGTGTGTGAAGCAACTGCATCGATCTCACTAAATGTCTGGAATGTTTGACTTTTGGGACAAGGGGTTTAAATTTAGATCGACTAAAGCAAAAAGAAATTGACTTGATTGTAAAAAGGCCAGTGTGCTGTGTCGAAATTACATTGAATTGAAAATATATAAAATTTACACATACATACACACACACACACACACACACTCAAAAGCATATGGGTATGTATTTACACGAGTTATGGACATAATTAAATATTTTTTTTTTTTGAATGGAACGAGTTTGCCACTAAAATACTCTAATTTTCCCCTGTCGGTGATACAGCCCCAATGTAAGTTTCGGCAATCTGAAAATCTGTTACAATTTTACGTCTGCTTTAATCAGTGTTGAGCGTACTTTGACAAACTGGAAAAAGTTAATCATAATTTCATAATTACGTATATCCGGATTGACAGTGGACCGTTGGAAACACACCGTAAAATAAACAAGAACAACAACAACAAAATGACATACCTTATTGTTTGTAGTAATTTTTGCTGTTTAAAATGTCAACCACAACAAGCCAACAAAAAAAAAGCAACAACAAGAAACTGTATATTTATAGTTGTTGGAGTTTTAGGCTTGTTTGTTTGCATTGCTCTTTTATTAATATTGTGCATTGATCTTTGCTTACGATAGAGTTTTATAGGAACTGCTGACACTTCGATACAGAAATTGCGGATATGCATTAAAACCGTGAAGGTGTCTGTCAACTGTCGTCGTTGTAATAATTCAACCTTAAATTACACATATTTTTAATGTTTTATGAATTTGTTGCCTTGGTGCTGGTGTTTCAATATGAACTACCATGAGATCAATGGAAACATCCTGGAGGGGAAACGAATGTTAGACACAATTCAATGCATCCCACCGCGAATGTTGGTTATGATCGGAATTGCAATTCCCTAAAGAAAGTATGTCATTAGCACGAGAGTAGCAGGTGCTAAGCAGTGTTGGTGATATTCGAAAGACAAAATTCGCAAAGTTTGTGATATTTGTCGAAGCAAGTCGGACTTTCGTTTATCTTAAAAAAAAAACTTTAAACTTGGATGGAATTTGTTTAGTATCATGAGTTTCTTTTTCACACTGCGACTGACCTTCATGAGATTTTCATTTTCATGGATTTCGTGTAAACGTGCCAATGCTGCAATTAATTATTGTTTTTCTCATTTCAAAAGCAAAAAGCATTAAATGACGAAGTAGAGGGGCGCAAGAATAAGAAGGTGATTTCAGCCATAATTTCTTTTGGATGTCTTTCTTCAAGTCAGTGCATTGAAAACGCCCGTACAACGAATTTACTAAGTCAGCACAAATTTCGAATAGGTAAATAAATTGGCATTGCCGTTTTATATAAACATAAAAACAAGGCAGATATTTCCTCACAAAAATGTGAACGCAATGACACTTTGTGAGATGTCAGTGATTTCCTTGTATACAGTTTAAGTGACGTCTGTATTAGAAGTCTGTGCAAGATCCGATCAAAAACTGATTTTTTTTTAACAATCTTTAATAAATTATCACTCAGCAAAGACTCTTTCAGACATCAACATTAAATTGTGAGAAAGATGTTTTGCCTAGAAATATAATATATTTCTGAGGAAAATTTTGGTGATATTCATGAAATTCTACTTAGAAGGATAATTGTGTGGAATCTCTTTCCTATGCAGACAATGAAAATATGAAGTCGAATTGTAAGCCATTTAACGCAGAAGTAAAAACAAAACGCACAAGCAAGAACTACATCTTACATTGATACATTTTTGGCAATCACCTTTTTGCTTTATGCTCTCCTGTGAATTTAAAATTTTGGCTACAAATCTGTAATAAGTATGTACTTTACATTATTATCGTATTTGTATGTTCCAATGTCAAGTGAACATACTTTGTTACACCCCCCAAAAAGGATGAACATAATTTTTGCCAATCTTAACATCATTTATCAAATCGGCCACTGTGCAATCAAACGAATATATTATTAATATTTTCTTTTTAAGAGAAAGACTTAATCAAAAAGTGTTGTTTTTTCGAAGAAGTGTCTTCTTATCAACCCACCATGCCCATGCAACCAACTCGGACGAAATTCATTACAAAATATCTTGATAACGAACTTAGATTTGTCGCTGGCAAACGAACGAAAACGGTTGGATTTTTCGTACGTTCAACAAAATGATAATTCACTTATAAATTAAAAATCTACAGATAACAAACATTTCCAGTGCTTCGGTTCTGTATGGGCTGTGTGTCAACCAAACAGTGAAAAAACCAAATGAATTTCAAATCAATTTCAAGTGCTTTTGCTTTAAACTTGAAAATGTATATAAATAAATATATATATATATATTTATGTGTGTACATATATCTGTGGAATGTGACTTTCGTTGAAATTATCACGTAACAGTTTGTTTTGCCTGCAGAACCACTTGAAGAACCTCTCGGTCCAAATTAAGGGGACATTTTACAGGCGGGACCTCTTCTGCAGTCGATTTTTGACGTGTACATATGCTGACAGCAGTGCACTATCTGCCATGATTTTCTTTCTGTTTCCAATGACATTTTTGAGGCATCAATAAAACTGAAATGTTATCATAAGGTCATTCGATTCTGATATGCTGCGACCAGCAAAATTTTTACGGATTTCATCGACGCAGCAAGTTTAGGCAGCCTGTGTGTGGTGATTGAAATGAAAAGTGCATTCTCAGAAGATTTGTGGACCGCAGCTTATCTCCGTTAGAAATTGAGTAATCTGAGATTTAGTATTGAGTGACGACACATATAAGCGCAGACATGTTTCATAAGCAATGCAGAAGAAATTTCGAAAAATGATTTCTTTTTCTATGATAGAATACCAGTTTATATGGTATCACGAGAACACAGGGGGGGTGGGGGAGTGATCCCAAGTTATTCGCAAGCATTTTTAATTATTTTTCTGACATACCGCTAACTGCAGCAAATCGATCTGCCGTCTTCAAATGTAAAATGTGTATCTCCTACGCGTGTGTGTATGTGCACACATACGTTCACTTTATGTGGCAGTCCTGAACTTAGTTAATATTCCAAAGACATCATTTTCCTAATTTGGTTTCTTTTCTTTAATTCTTTAAACAATCCCTTAATCCTTCATCCATTCCACTGATAGCGCTGAAGGATGTACGCTTGAATATTCCAACAATATAATCAGTTAGCGTATATCTTAAAAGTGCTGAAAACAACAAGAACAAGAAAACAAAACACACCCTCACTCACTCGTGGGTGCCAATAAGAAAGACATAATGGATGTTGTCAGACCCCAAAAGTAGAAAAAATAAAACATAACAATCTCTAACATTTCCTTTTGGCGATAAGAAAGAAATAGTGTTCGATGTTAAGTTGTTGGTCGTCGCTCCACAGAATACAATAACTGTAAATTGGGTTTGAAAAACGCAATAACAACAACAACACAATCACCATCACCATCACCGCCACTTTTGGAATGGGGGGTTGATGTTGTTTTGGTTATCACTTCCTAGGCCCGCCAACATTCTCTTGCTGTCGCAGACACTACTACATCGTATCGGCAATGCTTCCAAGTAATTTTGAGGGAAATAAACAACACTTTTGGCTGTTGCCTCTTCAAGGTATGATGTTCCAGTGTTTTGTTCTTTGGTTTTATCAATACGGAATGCTTCCTCTAGTTCGTAACGAAAAAAAAAATTGTAAATTAATTCATTAATTATAAATTAATGATTTTTGACAGGGACATCTATCTTTGGCACCCAACTACAGCGACAAAAATACGATTGTGGTCATTTCGGACGCTAATCAGAAATTGGAATTAATTTCTCATAAATTATAACTACTCGACGTAGAATCGTAGGGCTTTAGTACGAATCTAAGTCTAGTATTTCGCTTGCTAACGTGAATACTTACTGGATCTAAGTCAGAGTCCCATATATCCTTAAGATCGCCGTCGTAGAAAGTTTCCATGGTGAAAGGAATTTTGACGAACTGCAAGCGGGGAAAGGGAATGCGGATTGTCGCACTAAGCGAACCTCGAACTCGGTGGTCGAGGGGGCGTGGGTTGATCTTGTATTGCAGTGCTGTTGGGCTAATACATGAAAAGTCCAGTGATATTTGATCCAGAGGATGTGCGCACTAGGCCTTGCCGTCACTCACACTTGTAAATATTTGGTGATGGTGATGGTAATGATGATGGGTTGTCGTTGTTGTGTTTGTTGCTGGCGGTTGTCAGTGTACTTGCGTGTAATTCAAGTGAGTACTGTTATTGTTGTTGTCTGCTCTCTATGCTTCAATTAAATGCATGTTTTGCCGTAACTTTTGTTGCTGTCGTCGGTTGTTGTTCATTCAATTATTTTCTGTTGTAGCTGTTGTTTGCGTTTTCGCCCAATAAAAATGCAACCGATATAAACTCATTTGTTTTGTTGATGCCAGATATGAGTTGTCTTGTCGTGCTGTTCTTCTTCTTCTTCGTCGTCTTCTGGTTTATTGTAGCACAGTTTTAGTTAAAATACAATAATTTCGTCGTGTGTATGTAATTCTTTATTTCGAGTAATCAAATCACTAATGCCTCTGTGGGGAAAGAGGAGATTTTCGGTGCTTTACCAAATGCCTCTCACAATGCTCTCTTTCTCTTTGATTTCAACTGTTTTGTCTGGACATGGGGAAGAGTTCACCACTGGAATGTTACGTTCTTGATTGCGGGCGAGCGCTGGGGAGGGAGTCTGGTCTGATGGAATGTTTCTGAAACCTGTTGCTTCCAAGTCGTGCTTCTTTGGCTGTCCTGAATTGTGTCTTCGCTTTAGTATGCTGCACTGCTGCTGGCTGCAGCCAACTGTAAATGGTCTCTGTTTACGGCTTCTTTTGCGTGGAGTTCTTCTCCCCGAATGAGGTTTTTGGTTCTGCTTTGGTGGCTCTTGGAGTGACTGCTAATGTGTGCGGTCGGTGTGTTGCTTTCGGCTGCTGTCATTCAAAAATTCACTTGTTGCTTTTGCTTAATTTAATATGAACCGTTGTTTCTCATTCTATTCTTCTTTTTTTTTTTTCTAATATTTTATGTATTTCCGTTTCTCTTTTTGTTTTTCTCAGTGAACTTTTTTCTAACAAAAAAATAATAAACTATACTTGTGTATGGAATAATTTAATCTTCACTCTAAATGCATCGGGGGTAGGCGGCGTAAGTGGGAGGGATGTGTTTTAATTTTATTTCACTTGAATGTATTTTGTTTGAATTTCATGTTTGTTGCTTGGTTTGCTTTTCTGATTTCTGACGGTCGGACTTGTGTTTTGGGGGTGGGAGGTGTCCGTTTGGTCGGTCAGTAACACTACTTCCGTTTTCAACTTTAGACTTTCACACTACTTGAGCGAGCATAAGTTGGTTGCTGGAACTACTTCATTGTTCCCGATAATTATTTGACGTATTTGTTTGATTTGGTACTTTTTTGCCGAAAGAGAATACCCGAAAAGATAACACTTGAATGAGAGATGTTTTCCTGTTGCTGTTATTGTAATTTTTCTGTACTTTTCATATTTTAATGTGTTGTGTGCCGGGGGATTTTTAATTGTAATTATTATTAGTTATAAACTATATTTGTGGTTGTTTTTTTTTTTTCTTTTCATTTAATTAATTTTACACTGTTGCTTGTTGTGTGGATGGTAGAATGTCCGAAGTACGACTGCCACCAGAAACACCACTAAACTAAATGTCGGTGAAATTCTTTTGAATGCAAAGTCAAGCGTTGTGTGAGAGTATCTCTGATTGTTGGTGTGTGCATGGCTGTCTGAGTGTGTGTGTGTGTGCTTGTTAGTTTTATTGTGGTACGGCACGGCGGTTTCTCACACTAACAATGGCTAGAGTGCAAAGTACCTAACGTTATCAGAGACTCTCTTTGGTTCAGTCATTCCTCCCTTTTATGGTTCTCTTAGTTTATTTCTGGTATGTGTGTGTGTGAATGTGCGAACGATTTTTTTCTGTACTTCTTTCCACACAGAGCAACATTATACGGGTTTCTTTCATTATCGTTGGCGTTTTGTTCTTCCCCCCGTCTTTTTCTTGGGTAGTGGTGAGTGATAAAGTCAATAGTGATATTTTGGTTGATTGTCTGTCTGGTGATTCCTGTTGCGTTCTAACCGGTCCTATAAAATATGCCGGTTGTCACATTTTTTTCATTATCCACTCTTTTTTGTGGCTAACACGTTGTTAGGCACTCTTACACTGTTGCTCTTGCGATTCGGCCATGCTTACGGTTCATATATTTTGTGTGTGTATGTGTGAGTGTATGAGAGCATGTATAGCCGATACGGCTCTAAAACTATGAATTTTAATACCTAGGTAGGTATTAATTCATTAAAAATGCGGTAGTAGTCACCATGCAGCAAAGATGCCTAAAACAAGTTTCACTGGTTATAGCCACAATTGGAATTTGTATTGGTTTTCGGGAATCAACCTGTTCCTTTATACAGCCCCAAACCCCGTTAGGATGTGCATTTGTATGAATATTGGGAAATGGGTTTTTCGAAAACATTAAAATAAGAGCTTTCGGCGATTTTAGATTAATCGTATGAGTTCTGATTAATTGTGACATATTGCCCCAGTTATTGAGGGCGATATTAACAATTAATTTAGACTATGTAGATAATGCACAATTTATATTTAACCGCCCATTTTACTCTTGGAATTTAGAGCATCATTGGATCCTCAACCGTTGACAAAAGACCGAGTGAACTGCAGACAGTGGTTCGGTTGCATGCATTTCTCTAACAATAATCTTTATATTGTTAATACTTTTTAATTATTAATATTTTTGTGACAGCATAAGAATACTATCCCAGCAAAGTGTTCAATGCTAAGGATGGGATGCTGTTCAAGTTTCTGGTATGAAAAAAAAAAAATCAAAATCTAAAATCATTATAGGATATTTAACATGGGTCCTTATCAATCCTTTGGCATGTCGTCTTCGAGACTTCTTTGATTTCAAAGTGCAGTTTTGAATGAAAGCCCAATTTCTGTTTTATACAAATCAAATTTATTGTATTTTTGGCGAAAATAAACAGAATTAACAGTAATTGTTACTCATCCCATAAATTCATTTGCCCATTAAATTCCTAAAAAGTTTAAATAAATCCAGTGTATATACACAAATTAGGTTAAATTTGACATTCAATTCAGTTAAATTTGACATAGTCAGTTACGAAAAATGTACTTTTTTTGAATTAAGATTACCTTCTGAATTCTAACATGGGCCTGTAAATTATTGTTCGACAATTTCAATGACATATGAATTCGAATAATCTCTTCAAATATTGGAACAGTGTTGGCTTGTTTGTACGGGATACCATAGTATTTAGTTGTTGCAAAACTGTCAGGCTTAATCCCTTAAAAAAAATCCTCAAACATAAAATAAAATATTTCATTTTCACGACTTCTTTTGAACTCGTGCAAAAAATCGAGTGAAATCATTGCATCACATTGAAGCACTTCAAATATGCTTTGCTGGGATGTTTTTCGCCGTTTTGTGGAATAAAGTGAATGTACTTTTAAGCTAAACTTATGTTGAAAAAAGTCGAAGAGATCCGGTTTTCTGAGTGGCAGCGGCGGCATAATAATAATGATGGCTTGTGTAACACTCCACAATCCATATATGGAGAAAATAAAAGTTTTTTACAGCAGAAATATTTTTGAAATGAGCATACCAGCCAGCGAGCATGGTCTGAATTTGTGTTTGGTTCTCCGGCAGAGATCACTTTCAGATCCAGATACAATGAAATGTTTTGCCATCATACAATAAAAACAAAACAACAATGTGGTAGCGTTTGGAAACCAACAACTCAACCGAAATCCCAACGTAAAGTTGAAGGCTTCTGTCAATAGTATGCAGATACAGACTTAAAAATTCCCTGTGCGGCGTTGGAAAAACCCAAATGAGTTTCCAATCGGTGAATTGGCCCATGAGCTTTTATGTGAACATGTGTGTATGGCTTTATTTTATATCGCCAGTGCTCTTACACTTTCTTGAGAAAATACTTACAAAACAAGAAATGTGTAGAGAAAATACAAACAACACTGGCGGACAAAAGTATGTAAGCCCGGCCAACAAAAAAATGCACATCACTTTGGTGAATGGGTCTGTCAACATTTTGTATTATTTTATTGTTTGAACTGTCTATATAATTAAATCTGTCCGAGGTGGAGGTCTTTGATAATATATGTACATAGAAACCATGGTACAGTAAGGAGGTAGAACAGCTTCGTAAAACTACAGAAATTCAGCCCTGAAGCTATGCCCACTTCCTGTCAAATTTGCATGCAAAAAGTTGTTAACATTTATTCAATTTTTTTTTTATTTTTAAAATCAGTTAAATAGTGGGAAATATGAATAAAATGCCTGGATTTTCTATAAAAAATATGATCGAAACAGTTTTATCTTTCAATTCCATGGCAAAACTGGTGAATAGCTTTAATGCGCGTCTCACAATTTACGTGTCTTCCAATAATTGATTTTGAAAATATTCTATTTTTATTTTTCAAAACAATAAATGCATACCAAAAAAAAAAATAGCAGAATTCAGGCAAACTTAGAAAAAAATTGTAATAAGCTGGTAGCTCTACCTTACCTTTTTATTGTATCATGGGTATAAAGAAGTATAGACTTTGTGAAACTGCCAAGCACTGTGTTCATCCAGCCGGAAATCACTACATTTAACGCACTTTGAATTTCTGTTTCTAAAAGCATTTATGTAGTAGTAAAGCCAGATATGAATACGTTGTCGATAGATAAATAAATATTGATGTATATTATGACAACAGACGAAATGTCTATTCAGCACTTTTGATTGCTAGTGTAAACCATCTCACACATAAGTACATAAAATGTATCTCCCAAAAACAGAGAATGACCATCTTCGATCGATCGCGGTTTCTCTTTTCTTCTCTCGCCCAAGTTCTCTTAACAAAAACCCGCTCTTAAAATCAGCAATCTCAAAAGGCGAGATAGATTTTTATTTCACGGTGTCCTACATTTGGAAATACAAATATGTCTGCCTGCTTGGGAGACGGTATTAATGAACGTTTTACTATTAACACGCACACACAGACATCCGATGATGACAACTGGGGTTTTTGTTGACCTGAGTGACGATCAGAAGAAGATTGCGCTGCAAGTGTAAATGACTTTCATATCAATTTTTTTCACAAAATAACGACGGGTTCAAATATTTCGTTTTGATATCGTTTCCAATTCTACAGATGAGCAACGCATTTAAGCTGGCATGAATACAAGGGCTACCAAGCACACACACGTTCATACCTACGAAATACATTTGGCTGTAATCGTGGCCTTAAGAAGCCAGCAATGCCTTATTGTCAGCCCATCTTGACTTTCTCTCAGTCTCGTCGCAATGCCCGCTAAGCTAGAGAGTGCACTTGTCCCCCATGCATCCGTTCGCTGACCCGTCCATTTGTACAGCAGGTGTATACGAGGCGAGGGGCATAAGGTTGTTTTCTGATATTGAATACATCGTGAAGCATGCAATTATTAGGCATGCCGCTGCCACTATAGCGACTGTATTTGTTATTTATAGTACCTACATTCTGACATTCATGACAATTATCATTTAGCTTGAACTGGGGATTCTCCCTGTCAATTATCTCATGAAGGGGAATTCACCATCTCCCATCTCGACAGTCGCTGGGCATAGCAAGGAAGCTTAATTTCAATCGTGCGCGATATTCGTAAGTGCAGTGTGGATTTTTGAATTGAGATTAATTGAAATCTGGTAACGCAAAAAACACTATACACGAACCTTTGCGTCCTCTTTTCTAATACATACAAAAGAGGGCTTTCAAAAAAATCCATAGAAACCCAATACCCATTAACTGCTTTACAGTGACAGAGTCGACTCGAAACTGATCACGAAAACCAATTAGATTCGATAAATTCATTTTAACATTTGGTGAATGATACTAAGTATACTCCCTCTTCAGGTCATACGTTATGCGTGAGAGTTTTAAAAGTAATTTCCTCCACTTTTCCACGTTCATTTGTTCTCAGCCTTTCACTCTACCATAAACGTTAGAAAAGATATACGATTATCGATTTTTTGTTAACGGGTTTGGCTTGGTGTTTGCTGCAGACACGCATAGAATAATACCATTTACTGTCAATCGATTAAATGGGCTTTGTCTAGACCCAGAAGAGACTGTCAGTCGAGTATTTACATATTTAACTTCTGTCGTTTCGAAATACCAAACCCTTTTACCATTTTCCTCAAGTCTTTAGATGATCTCAACATTTGGACAAAAGTGAAATGTTTTAAATTCATCCATAAACTGGAAGAACCTAATCGAATATTAAGTCAAGGGTATGATGACTTGAGGTGTGTTCGTCACAGAAACGCAGTATATATGTATATGCTACATATAAGCAACAGTGGCAGGACACTATATTTATTGGAATTTTTCATTTCGAAACAACAACATATCGATCACTCTTAAATTCTTCTTACAAAACTGGTGATTTGTTATAGTTAAGATGTGAAATTAATGTCATTTGTATAAAAAGAATAACGCATTTTTAGCATAGCATGTGGAGTGTTTTTAGAGGATGAACAAAGCAAGACGGTACTTGATTTAAAAAATCGAATAGGGAACCTTAACGGTTGGACGAAACATATATTGTTCATTGTTTAGGCTTTCTTCGAATTTCATTGC